GCATGAAAATGGGTCAGGCAGTGAATCAGTAAATGATGAAATTGAAAATTATCAGTGCAAATCTCATGCCTGTACGTGCACATCCGAATATTCCTCTAAAAAAAAATTTAAAAAAATTAAATTAATAAAATAATCAGGTTTATGACTGATGCTTTTTGTGAGAATCTAAAGCCTTTAATATACCAAGTGTTAAATCTAGCCAATATTATGAAACATTCTCCAATAACTCAATATTTTCAAATCAGTGATGATTCCTGTTCTTATCTTCATAAGGAAGATATTGAATTGTAATTTTACTCCGATATACCATTATCCTTCTACAACTTTATTTCATATTTTGTGACAAGTCAGTTTCCAGCACTTATATTTATATGAAGATTTCTAAATTGTAATTCTGTCAATATACCTATTCAATATCATCCGCATACAACTTTTTCTTTGAAGGTATATGCAACAAAAACCATGACACATGTATTTATAAGGAGGCAAAGAGTGGGGTTGTGAAGTTGCTTATGCCTTGTAGGTTTAGTTATTTTTACTTTTAGAAGTAGGATGCAAAAAAAGAAAGATTATATTTATATAAGGGGTGAACTTTCACCAAGTAAACCATGATCTCGGCACTCTATGATGATTAGAAATTGCTCGCTTTTCAATTTTCAGTCTAGTTTCATATCATGAGAGAAGTTTTTATTATTCACCTGGGCTTAGTAGTAAAGAGGCCTTCGGAAAGGACATCAAATTCAATGCCACCGTTGTGTTCTCATATGTTCATACTTTTGCATTGGTTTGGTCGGCTTTCTCTCTCATCGTTGGCTTATGCTTGCTTTTATTTTATCAAGGAACCTTTAAGGGCGATTCTGTGTAATGTGGCTAATGTTCCTCTTTTTTACCTCCAAAATAGTTTGAAATTATAAACTTATATACCACAAAGAATTATTATTCAGTGATAATATAAAAAGATTTTATTTTTGGATGATGTAGATAGATGAATTACAGTATGTCATATTGGGCATATTCCACATAATTGCCTCAAAGCTCCTTGAAAACTATTGTTTAGTGATAAACCCAATAGATTTCACTTTTTTCACTTTTTGATATTAGATATGAACAAATAAATTACATCATATTCAATATAAAAATCAAAATATACAAAGTAATGTTAATATTTAACTATGTTTGTACCAAGGTTATATGTGGGGCTTTCCATGAAGGTTGCGAAAACCTGTGAAGTTGGATCGCCCATTACAGAATGAATCATATGGAGCACATCCCACAGAATTACCTCCAAGCTCCTTGCCCTTGTACAAATTTTATTCAGGACCATAATAATTATCATTATATTTGTTTACTAAGTTCCATCTCTATTGAAACTTCCTGCACTGGCTTCACTTTGTTATTCATTTTTAATCAGTTTTTTCTTGCAAATTGAATATTACTCATCTCACCAATGTTGACCATTTCAAGAATTGAGCCTGACATGAGATGGTACATGGGTTCCCAAATTCATAACAAAGTCTAGAATTATACCGAAACCAGCTCAGGTGACTCTCATCTAACAATAGCAATTACAGAATGCCAATTTTACATAGTATATTTACCTCCAGTTGTTCAAATTGATACTTTTATGAGATGTATTCATCAGAATCAAAAATCAAAATAGTTTTTATCTTCCAAGAGCATGGGCAAAACCCTTCATAACTTTGACAAGATGTCATTGGAGTCACGTTTCTTTTCTTCTTTTTTTTCTCCATCGTAAGCAATCGCTACCTGATGTTGATAGAGTCTTTATGCGGTTAGCTGCACAAGCAAATACACACTCGCACATTCCAAGAGCTTGTCGATTTCCGGGAGCTCGGCCGGTGGAGGCGTGCAGTCACGTCTCTACCACCAAATGGGAAGTTGAATGTTTTAGATGTTGATTTTTCTTTTTATAATCTTCTTTAAATTGGGAAGTCTGAATGTCAAAGTTCTGTGATAATATTCATAAATTGTAGTTTCTTTTCCCCTTTCTTGTATGTATCCTGTTCCCTTTTTTTTCTTCATTGGTTTTATCCATCATGCCCATATGAATTGCAAATGAGATTGGCATGCATCGGAAGAGTTCCCTGTCTTGTCTGCAAACGAGATCGAAGTAGAAGAAAAAAAATTGAATTGAATCTTCTGATGTGTATATTTGGATTCGGCAAACAATGTTGGAGGACTTCTTAACCTTTGACTCCTCCATGTTTGCTCAGTCAATATCAGAAGAGATGCAGGCAAATATGAGATGCTCATGTAATTCAGCATGGGACCACACCTGGTCTTCTCTTCTTCGTTCTTGGTGTCTTTGACTTTGGTTGAATTGGAGGAAGACATCAAGTGTCAATATCAGTGGGTGATCGAGCCTCAGAGCTAACAAGTAGTAAACTGATTTTGGCACCCTATCTTAAACTTAGGGATAGTGGTTATTTTTCTTTGTTGGCTGTTATTGGAGCTGTTTTTGGAGCTGCTGTGAAAGTCTTCCCCAGTCACAAAGAGTGCTTTTCTTATGTTAGTTTACTAAAAATCTTGTTGTATTTTTTTTTTCAAGAATTATTTTTTTAACCAGACATCTTTTTAGATTTTTTTTCAAGAAAAAAAACACTTCTTCAGAGGTAGTTTCATTATTTTCAAGTGTTTTTATTGATTTAACAGGCACTTTTTAGTTGATCAGTTGACTACGTGCATGTAATTGAATAATAGATTACTAACCAATTTCCTGATTGATTACCGGTAGCTTATGTATTGATTGATAAGTTGATGGATTGATTTGTTTTATTGATTGGTAATTGATAGTCACTTCATTGACTGATTAATAAGCAGACATAAGTATACACCCACAGCCTGGCATTACATTATACTCTTCTTCTTAACAGCAAATCATTTTTTACCCATTTCTTCTATATTTTGTCACAACATGTTATTTTTCTCTTCTGCCTGTATGACGTCATATGACCATCCTTGCAATGCACACCCAAAAAAGTTACTGTCCATAAAACAACCTCCTTCAGAACATTCTTGACCTCACACAAGGGAACATCCATGGCCATGTGAAGGAAAGAACTTGAAGGGAATGTTTTGCTTGGTTACATGAAATAGATGAGGCTAGATCAAGGAACCTGCATTTTTTAGTATTGAGCCTACGGTATTAAGAAAATTGGGCACTGAGCAGTCAATGGGTTTTTAAAAGATGTTCAATTATTGGAAATGCCCCGCCCCCTAAAAAAAGTGGGCTTTATATTGATTTTTGAGAAGGAAAGGGTTTGCATAGAGCAAAACTTTATGACAGCTGAGCTTTTTTTTACGCAAGAGTACGTTTCTGTTCCCTTGCAAAACAATATTTGCCTTGGGAATTCCTTTTCCTTTTGTATTTTTTGGAAATAGAACACTTTGCTTTCAAATTTGTTGGCAGCAGAGGATATTTTTCTTTTCTTTTTTTTAACAGACCCCTCGTAGGTTATTGGGGCATCCCTCCAAACAATGTCTCTTAGCTCTTGATCTTGTCAAAGCAGTGCCCCTCTCAAGCACTTAGACATTGGAGGAGCACCTGTTCTTTCTAAAAATGGAAGGATTTAAACAGCATCCCCGAAGAAAATATAAATGTGAAGATAGTCGAGACAGAGAAGTATTCTACTTTTGAGGGTTGTGAAATAGAAATGGTGTATAGACACAATTACAGGTATTACTGAATGGATGCCCGATTTGAAAGTCTTTATTGTCTCTCTTCTCTGTTGAGATCGGCTAGAACTAAACAAGACTGACAGCCAATAAGACTGACATTGTTCATGTTTTTGGTTTCCCCTTTTCAATATTTTCTGTGTATTTCTTTGTTTTGCTGGTCTCTTGGGCCGTCGGTCTATTTAAACCATGGACCTACAGGACTTTTCTTGTAGGCTGGTCGATCAAACCATTTGTGAAGGTCGGTCTCTTTCCCCCTCCTTCTCTCTTTCCATCTTCGGTCCAGAAGATCGCTTCCTGGACCGCTTGTCTGTTCACACTCACAGTTGGACCGATCTAGCCTGGATTGATCTAGGAAGTGAGTGAGAACAGGGTCCTACTTTGTAAGCTTATATCTCCATCTTTAAAGGCCATCTGTACTAGTGTACAGGAGGGATTTGACCACCCTGCATGGTCACCGACTGGTGGTTAACTCATCACAACAGCTCTCAATTAACATAAGAAAAAGAGGATCATGGGGGACCAACAGGCACCGATTGGGGAAGTTTTCTATATAGAGGGCGCAAGTAGCTACAAGTAGTACAGTTTGGCTTTAAATCTGTTCCCTTCCTTGCCCTGATCATTGGTCATTGATGTAGGTCAAAGGTGATCCTCTGCAGAATTGGGGGGAAAAAAACTCCACAAATTCCACAACTGACCATGTGTCGATCTGTCACCATTAAAGTCATTGCGATGGTTGTATAGTCAAGACAATGTTTTTTTGTACTCCATCAATGAAATGAAGAAGTACATCTGTTTCATAAGCCTGGGACCTGTCCTGAGTTATGACTCCAAATGTGAAAGGTTAACCATGGACCTACTAATGGGTTAACTGTCCCAGGCTTCCTTAGGCCTGTTCCTATCAGCCTGAATTTTCACAAATAGCCCATTAATTCCACTTGGAGAAATACAATAAGAATCTTTCTTTTTTGTCTTCATAAATTTTTTATTTTTTCTGTAAAGTGTAAATTTTAAATCTCAATTAATATTAATCGTAAATTGTAAATAAGTGTAAATGTTGTGTGATTATTTATATTATGTTGATGGGACAATTTTTGATTAGCATTATGTTAATTTGTTTAGTTCTTTTTACCCAAATAAATATATATGTTTATATTGTAATATGTCTTCAATTAATTGTATCTACCGGTATGTGACATGGATTTTGGTTACAGCTGATATTATCAAATCAAAATTCTGCTTCCAAAGAAAATAGTCCAAAACTGGGTATTTCAATCTATCTTCATCTATTTTTTCTTCTTCAGAATATAACGAGGCCTTCAGCGACTTCCACTGGTGGAACGTCAACTAGACATCTTGCTTCATCAATCAAACATCCATCTCCACCATCATTGTCATCATCACCACCATCAGTACTCCATGGGGATGGAGAAAAAGATGCAACATTCTCATCAACATCCCAGAGCCGCATCGTCAAGAGTGTGTCCTTTCAAAGTCAGAAGAACTTTGAGGAGGAGCCGGGAGGACAGTCTTTGCAAAGGTAACAAATATTCAAATCTTTTAACTATTGATTTGATTTCTCTAGAGAAGGATGACCCATTTGTGTTGGTTTTGCAAGGAGTTTTCAAGGGGTTTCAAACTTAAATGTTGTAATAGTTGGAAGTAAAATTCCTCAAAATGCTTAGAAATAGACATGCATTTGGATGGATTTCACATTGGACCATACTTCGGTTAACCTTGAATCAAATTGAATAGAATTTATTCATTGTCATGCACAAATAAAAGGAAGGCATAAAAATCATCTTACAAACAAAAATAAAGTATTAAAGTATATCTATAATTGACATACCTAATTTGCATAACCCATACAAATGGAGCATCGTATAGGAAAATACAATGACCCTCTGATGGATAAGTAGTTCCAGTCATAAGGAATATATCTATGGCTTCTCTAATTACTTTGACTGAAAACACAATTCTCATAGCTGCATTTATCATTGGGAATTGTATTTATTTCCCCTAACAAATATACCCCAGTTGTAATGACTATGTAACTTTGAGGAGTGCAGTAGTAAACCAATAGACTATTTAGACTACATTATTATTATTATTATTATTATTATTATGATTATGTAGTTTTTGCTTTTACTCCTATACTTTAATTTCTACAATGTATTTCCATTTATTTGTACTGTTTAATACACAATAACATTATCTCAGTTCCTACAATGTATCTTTCATATTTGTTGATGTAAATATTAACCCTGTGATTGCTTCCTTTGCCTCTCTGCATGGTCGCTCATTTACCATGCATGCATTTTTGCACAAACCAATAGACAACAATTGAGGGAAGGCCTGCTTTGTGCAACATTGGTTGTGTTTATCGACCAAATTTTTGGCTAGAATCAGGTTTCTCAAACGTCTTTCGGGCAAATTTAGAAGGGGATAAATGCAAAGCCTTTTTTAAAGGGCTTTAGATATGGGCATATCTAAAGACGCAAAAAGGTGTGTTTTGAATGTGACATACAGCCAGAATCACGTTTCTGAGAGATCGATAAACGCAAAGCTGTTTTGAACCTCACATACAAATAGGAATTCCCAGGCTAGTTTCCGGTTCGAAGAAATAGCGCTGAGCAGCTGCGAAGAGACAAGGCCTTTATTGTGAATCGTGAAGAGTCGATAAACGCGAAATCCCGCAAATCACGATCGTATAGTGGGGTACAATATGTACATATCTAGTGGCAAGCCCCGATAAACGCACCCATTGAGGATTTGCAAAATTACCCATTTCCAGTCTTGATTAGCTCCATAACAACCCGTTTAACACCATTAAAGATTAATCTCGCACTCGAAACAAGTATTGAATCTTGAAGCCCTTGATGTATCTATCCCATGATGAATACAATGTGGCACCTGTAGGGATTTATTTTTTTGATTCAAATGATTTTATTTCTGATGCAAAACATAATACAAGAATCATTATATCACAACAAATATGCAATGAAACTGCAAATATATGGAAAAAGCATGAGAAAAAGAGGAACTAACTTGAACAGCGCTCAAAATACATGGGGGCGATGGGCGATTCGCCCCCGTGAGCTCCATAATCGCCCCCGTCAGGTTGCTCACGGGGGCGATTGAAAAATTAAAATCGCCCCCGTAGAATTATAAAATTAAGATTGTCTTTTCTGATATAACTTTAACACAATATTGAGTATCAATTTTCAAACCTTAAACCAATGAAATAGAACTTAGATGGCGCTTTCTCTCCATCTCTATGAGTATTACCGATACAAACAACGGAAGCTCGCAGTGCAGCTAGTGCGGCCCTCAGCAGTGGCTATACTGCGCCGGTAGTACCGGTGTGCACGCTGACGCCCAATATCTGCTGGAGCTGGAGACGATCGCGCAAGGACTGAAACATGGAGAAGTTTTTCGTTGTAATAAAAGGGAATCCTCTGAAATCTGGTTATTCTAACAAGCCAGCAAATAATGTAACTCCACCAGTAAATCAATATTGAGAAGAATATTACCAAGATGTTGCAGGGGCGGATCTAGGCGGTTTAGGGTGTTTAACCCCCCCCCCCCCCCCCCCCCCCTTTGGCTGCCAAGTGAAAATGTGATGTGCATAGAAAATGCTATCATGTGTTCAGACCTACACAGTATTAGTATGTTAGTAGATGCCAGGAAAACATCTTTTACGGGGGTTCAAAATAGCAACAACGAAAATCGCCTCGCCACTACGCGGCTCGTGGACGATGCTCCACATCGTATTTGGGTTACCCCCGCCCCCCCCCCCCCACCCTTAGCAAAAAGATCTGCCTCTCTGTTTTGGAAGGATATGGTAAAGACTAAAAGTAAAGAAAGAATGTAAATAAGGTTGCTCTGAATAATTAATAAGTAAATTCTAAGAGGGAAATTGTCGACTTAAATAAATGATAATAGTAATAATAATACTGTGAATATCATTATCATTTTCATTATCATTTTCATTATCATTAACATTTACATTTACATCAAATGAAAGAGAGGATCTAAGCTTTCCAAATATGTGTCATTTATTAATTATAAATGTGATTAAGTTATGATAAAACATCGATAATTTCGGTTTCGTTTTTTCGGGGACGCACTGTATAGTAACATGTAGATAGAAATCATACACTGCGAATTCGTTGTGTAACGACTTTACACAGGGGTTGTGTTAAGTTGTGTAATGTTTTATTACACAACCCTTGTTTAAGGAGTGAACCATCCAATGTCGTTACACAACGAAATTGCAGTGCACACACATGTAAATCTGAGATTGTTCATTAATATTATGTTATTAAATACAGTTTGCAGAATCATCAGTAAATAACTATGTTTAGCATTTACAGTCTATAAAAAGTGGTTCCATAAATTGATATCTCTGTGTTTGGATCAAGCAAAACAAATGCGTTTCCGGAAGCGAGAAAAAAAATATGGAAAGAGGGGAAGGTCGAAATCTGTTTATGTGCAATACTTTTAGTGCACCACAAGGACCCTATATTATGTCAAAGTCCTGTTAATCCAGATAAGGTTATTCGAGGAATAAACTTTCAGATTCATATTTAAATCCCAATAAATAATATGTAGTCAAAATTAGATATAGTAAGGTACAATCGACATGTCTACGGGTGCTTCCACTAAACGAAATGACTTGAAAAAATAATATGAATGGATATATATGTAATGTTATAGATTAATCATAGTAAATTATAAGTTATTACCATGGAAATTATAGTTTGTTCTCTTCCTACTTGTATATCTTCTCTCTTCTCTCCCCCTTTCCCCTTTCCCAATCTTTCGTAAGTACATCTATATTTACGTAAGATAATAATGATAAGACAGAGTGAAAAAGTATCAAATATTTTGTCTAGATATCAATTGGCACAAGGTGATAAAGCATACATTTGTTTGTCTTGTACAATGGCCAAATTTCTATTTCCGAGATCACCCCTGCGTGAGAACAGTGAAGTTATATATTTTCGAGCTCAAGTACTTCCTTATTTCAGCTTATAATCAACTACAAAGGCGATATGGGCGCGACAAAAAAATAAAACAAAATAGGCTAAAGTTCAGTCGATTGCAACGGTTTTTCCCTCTGGCATTCACGAGTTTTCATAAAATGATATAATACTTGTATATGTTTAAAGGTAAAGACCAGTTATGGTCATGCGATTGCATTGTGAAAGAAACGTTGTGGAATCGATCAGAAAAGGTTGATCATCTAGCATCTAGCATCTGCAAGGTTCTGGAATCATCAAAATGATAAGAAATTTGGCCCATTCTTCGTAAAGTTACAAGCACTATACACAGAAAGATGTATATGGGACTACCCTATATCTCTCACAGACCATGAGAGAATAAATTTACCAAATATATCAATTAGTAGGCGGTTTCCCGGCAAATTTTTTATCATCATGTATTAGTCAAAACATATTCTTTCACATGGTTGGTAATGAGAGCTTCCATTTCATTTTTTGAAATTGGGGCGTTTCCAATACTGGTCTTTACCTTTAAGAGAACTAGTCCTAACGAACAAAGAAAACTCCAATTTGACTATACTACGTTGCGACGATCATATCTCCTACAGATTGAGTAATGCGTATGCAAATGAAGATTAGATTGATATTTTTAGAGCGAGAACATTAAAGATAAACTCCAGTTCTGTTAAAAAAAAGAAAATTAATTCTCAGAGAATCAAACAAACTTTACACTGAATGTTCAAGATTACAAATAAATGACATGTGCCAAACAATTTTGGAAGAAAATGTATACTGGCTGAGTAATGAGCATAGAAAACAAGAAATCAAGGTAGTACTAGCCCCGACACCATGTGTGTTGTCCCATATAAAGCTTTCTGTGTACAGTGATTGTTACTTTACCAAGACTCGGTCAAATTTATTATGATTTTGATGACTCCAGAACCTTGCAGTGCACACCAATACTTACATGCTACATGATCAACTGATTCTGATCCTTTCCACATCTTTAAGGCAAAATTGCCTACATTGATAAGCGTGGTATCAACGCAATAAAAAACAGCTCGTTCGAAAAAATACAAGACATGAAGTAATTTGCACCTAGTAGTTAAACATGGTCTTGTTTCTGTATAACATACGTACACAGTGTCTATGTAAGATAAAGTTAAGTGATTGTGACGATTGGTTTATTGTTCTGAAACTTGTTTGTTTCTTTATAAGTTTATGGATTTATGTATTTAACCAGAGAGTGAAACGAAACAAAAAATCCAATCTAAAGCTATACTAACTTACACATTGCGTCTTACGCTGTCAACTTTATATAAATATAACATTTTCAAAGAAAAATCGTCAACATCTATAGAATTGTCATCGGTTTAATTTCTGAAAAAAATCAAAGCCTAAGGTTTTGTTTTCAAATCACAAACACAAAGTGAAAGTTGTTTACATCACAAGGCAATGTTAAAAGCTGTCTTTTAATTTGTCGTTACTTTTCTTTATTGATTTTTATTTGATAGTTTGTATTTTTATATGCTTTTTCAAGTTTATACTCATACGCGAATGTATACGGGCTTGGACCAGATATTTTGTACGAAGGGAAGAGATCTGACCACTAGCTGCATGTTATAACTTGTAAAGTTGTAAGAGAAATAATGCCGACTATTAATAATAATGATAAAATAGCAAATAATTTAGGAGTTTCATGGGTACCACCAATTTAATGGAAATTTATATTAAAAAGAGCCCCTGTCTGTACTAAAACAGCCCCCGTGAGAAGGCTCACGGGGGCGCTTTTTATTTTGGAAGAGCCCCCGTGGACAAAAAATTAATTTGAGCCCTGAACTTGAAGCAGAGCTTGTTGAAGTGTTAGTTCCTCAGGTGCTGTTTTACAATAAAGCATGAACAAAGTATGCTTAGAAAACAATAAATAGACAAATATGTAGCTGAGAAATTCTTTTTATAAAAATTGGGGGGGGGGGGTAAATACAAAAAAAAGAGGGGAAAAATGGAGGAACTAGTAGAAGGCAAAAAGAAAGAAAGATACAAAAAAGGGAAAATAGGAAATTAGATCAGTAGAATAAGGGAGAAAGAGATTTAGAAAGAGATTGAGTGGCATTCAAAGAGTTAAAGACAATCTACATGTATCATTAGTACCATATTGTAGCGCAGTAGAATATATACCGGGTACTTAATGTTGGATATGGCTCTATAAATGTATTATTATTATATTTACATTATGCTCTTTCTACTGGTATCATTTCCAAATCAATCAATTTCATCTGTTGAGAGCCAGAATTCAAGGGTGTTAATTAATTCTAAATACTTGTTACAGAGTGAACGCCCTTCCAGTTGCCAACAGACGATTTATTCATGCACCGAGTTCCATCACAAAGAATATTGCATTATGATTATGAGGATAGCATCGTTCAGCTTTCGCAGGCCAAATTTGCAATTGTAATATTGAGATTACCATCCGTTGAAAAGGAGTAGAGCAATTCAATACCAATACTGTCAGAAATAAATGGGAGGAGGCATTTATTTACATATACATACATGTACATCAATCATTATGGATTTCCCTTGTGTTCAGTTTGTATACATCCTCCCCATAAAAGTGCAATGTTGAACATTAGTTGAACATTGTACTTTTACTGAAAGTGGCTTCAGCCTTCATCCTAAAAAAGAAACAGGTGCCCTCATTTCAAAGTTTATTCCCTTGGCAGCGTTACAATTTAGCCCATCTATCAAAAAATGAGGCATTTCAAGTCTAAACCTAACTCTGTAAGTGTTTAAAACATTAACGCAGAACAGGTAAAATGGTAATGTTAGCTTTCTTGAAATTTTCTTCAGCAATTTTTTAAAATTATTATTATTATTTGAAGTTAAGGGGGAACTCTATTTTCAATGAAAATGCATGAACACTATATTCACTTAAGGGCGTGAATAGAAAATATATACAAAAGTTTAAAAAAACAAATACCATTACCGGTATATGAATTTTTTGGGGAAGCAAATATTCAGCAAGGATTAGAATTTGCCAATTTGTTGCCAGTTCGAAGATATATTATATTTGTTTTTACATGCATTTAATTAGTTTTTTTTCTACATGCATTTAATTAGTTTTTTTTTCTACATGCATTTAATTAGTTTTTTTTTTCTACATGCATTTAATTAGTTTTTTTTTCTACATGCATTTAATTAGTTTTTTTTTCTTCTTCTTGATGTCTATCATCATTATTTTGGAGATCTGTTCGACATGCATAATTGCTTGTGATACGTTTTGAAGAAATCAATATATATTAATCAAATCAATCAAGGTATTATTTACTTCTATGTTTCTCTTTGATCAACACAGGGCAATGAAACATCTGAGCAGGTTGAAAACTCTGGTTGCCATAGATACAGCATCCCCATCGTCATCACAGGCAGCAAGGGCATCTTCTCTGTGAACTTCAATAACGAGGCTCTCCCTCTCCTAGAGGCTGTGATCGTGATCTGAGAGAATTTCGTAACGAGAAATGATATCACTGTGTGTGAAGTATCAAGGTGACACTGCAATGTACATGCATTTATAAAGACCGGTTCACTAACACATTCAAATTCTATGTATACAAAAAATGGTTGTTCTTGACAACCTGAAATATTGGCTTGGTTTGCCTGACATAGCAACAAGTATAGTATGTTGACTGGATTTCAAGAATTGTCAGGGCATTCATTAATTACAGGTTAATGGAATAACATGTCACTGGGAAAGAAACATCCATAAATTTGAATATGGTAGTAAACCAGACTTATATTGCATTATGTGGAAAGGCTGAACTATTTATATTTGTATGCTGATATTCTGCAGCATCTCTGAGAGCTAGATTAATTAATTAATAGACATTTTTCCTTCAAGAAAGAGTCAGCGCCCCTCTGGCCCTCAACAGATGATACATACAGTTTACAAATGAATTATCTATACCCTTACTAAGTTTTTGTAATGTTTTTGTACGGTATGTGAAAATTGAATACTCCCAAATTATGTTTCTTCAGAGTGGGACATATTAATATGTTGATTCACATGTTGATACCATACTTACAGTACAATTTGTCTCCAGTTAAGTTTTTTTCCTTCACGTTTTCATATCCTTTTTGGTTGTTGCTGTTAGTAAAAAGTTGCTTAAGTAGATTTTCCTTTCTTTACCTTTCATGTAAAAGGATTTTATTGTTTTCTTTCATAAAGCTAATGTACTTTTTACAAAGGTGTATTAATTGATATAGATTGACAAAGATGTATTAATTGATATAGATATATTCGATAGGCCTATATTCTTATACCCCAATTTCCAAAGTGCTTTTTACTTCATGCAGTACCTTTCATACATTCCATTTGACACATTAAGCACTTATTGTTTGTTATTTATAAACAATTATAATTATTTAAAAGACCTTTTATTACCCAAACTTGATCGTAATTGAGAACACGGACACATTGGAAATATAATTCTTTGGCAACCAGATACAGCTAGATAGCAATACTGCTAGTACCATCTGGAACTCAACTCTCTCTTTAACACTTTCTTGCGCTGAACCTTGAATCCTCCGAGGCTGTCACATTCAATTGGAAACTTGTGAGGACAGAAAGGGCTTCCGATACTCTCCAATTAATTTCAGAGGTATCCAGCCTGCCTCTTATTGCATAGTTGGCATTCCACTGACTTTAGTCATATACAGAGCAGCTAATCAACTGTTAACGGCTTATGATTATAGACAATTTTCGACTTTGAAAAGGATTTCACGTTCAAAATGCCTTTTATTGTTGTTGAGGATGACTCGTTTTGTTGTTTCCCCTTTTTTTAAACATATTGCTTCAGAGCTTGTTATGAATACTCGGTAATATATTAATTCTTTCTGTCCATGGCATTGGAAGTAGATGGCAATGGTGCAGGTATCTTCTCCCTGTCAGATCATTTATCTATCTCAAACTTGGTATATTCTCTTTTTTCTCCTCCCCCCCCCCCCCCCCCCCCCCCCCCCCCGTCTCTCTCTCTCTCTCCCTTCTTCCTTCCCATTCTCCATTCCTTCTTCCCTTCCTCCCTCTCTCTCTCTCTATCTCTCCCTTCTCCCTTCTTCCTTCCCTTTCTCCATTCCTTCATTCCTCCCTTCCTCTCTCTCTCTCTTCTCTCTCTCTCTCTCTCTCTCTCTCTCTCTCTCTCCATCTCTTATCTTTGTATTCCTATGATTTATGTTTCTTCTCATTCAATCTTTGTCTCTTTCTTTGCTTTTTCTACCTTCTCTCGTTATATCTCTGTGTCTTTCTCTTTCTTGCTCTTTCCATCTTTTCTCGTGTTCTACCTGTCTGTCCCATACTCTCTCTCTCTCTCTCTTCTCCCCTGTTCTCTCCTGTTTATTTCTGTTATCTGATAATCGTTCTTTTTCCTAATACCTCATCCTCCCAGCATGCCTACATAAGTTCAGCACCAAGTCTTTTACTTTAATACTCTTATAGTTGAGACTTAGCAGCTGTGATATTTAGGCTTACACTTAGGTACAGTGTACATGTATGAAAAGAACAGGAAAAAGTACCCTTTAATCCATGGAAAAGCCTGGCTTATACCATGGACTTACTTATACCCCATAGAAAGAGGCCCTGCATGGTTCTTTTAGAAAATCATAACAATTGACCAATTTTTCAAGAGCAGTGAAATTGGTGCTTTGAATGTTTGACAAGTAATTGCAAATACACAAGAGCGTGCAAGGAACTGCACTCTGCAGGTCAAACCCGTGAAAAAGTACATCACAGACTCACAGTTGATTCATTTTGGGATTCCGGCGTGTTTGCTTTCAAAGTTGTCCCCCGGTGAAGTTGGTCGTTCTTTCGGATTTTCATGAAGATTTCTCATTGCCTTTGATTGTTTCCAAATTAGTTACCGCAAAATAGCCCAGGGGTTTAATGTTAGGGTGCTAGATTGTGATTGTGGTTGCATTTGTATCCTTTCATGCAACCGCTAGTTCAATGTTTTTTTAGAAAGTTTGATATCCTCTTCTCCACTCCACATCTTTCTCTCTCATTTATGTTCCTCTCTTTCTCTCTCTCCCTCTTTCTCTCTCCCTCTCTCTCTCTCTCTCTCTCTCTCTCTCTCTCTCTATCTGCTTGTCTGTCTGTCTCTGTCTCTCTATCTTCTCTCTCTCTCTCTCTCTCCCTCCCTGTGTCTTTACCATGTCTTTATTACCCTCTATTATTATTTTCCCTCCTCTCTCTGTCTGTCTGCAAGTCTCTCTCTCGTCTCTCTCTCTCTCTCTCTCTCTCTCTCTCTCTCTCTCTCTCTCTCTCTCTCTTTTCCTGTTCCCTCTCTTTCTCTCTATGTTTCTTATTCTGTCTTTCTCTCTATGCATACATTTTTTAATACCTTTCTATCTGCCTGTCTTTTTCAATCCATGTTGTGTGTATTTTTTTGCATACTTCATTTTTGTTTGTTACTTTGAATATTCATACCAGTCTCCTCTCTTTCTCATTCTTGTTTTTTTTCCCTCTCATTTTCTCCTCCTCATTCAGTTCTGTCATATATTTTCTTTTCCTACAAGTTGCTTCTCCTCATTGCTGCAAATTACCAAAAGCACACCTATTATATGTATCTCACATTGAGGCACTAACGTGGTTACCCAGGTGTTGTATGGATTCCCCTTTTAAATTTGAGGCTTTTGGGGGCTCCCTGCATTCACACGGGGAACAATACAGGTCTTATAGAATTGGGAAAGAAAAGAAAATCACAGCTTGATTAAAAAAAATTACAACATCGTGGGAATCTGCAAAGATGAAAAAATGAATGAGCACATTTGTTTGTGTCTTGTTCGGGACCAAAGAAAAGCTGGCACAACCTCAAAGTTTGTGAATCCACACGGCACATTACATTGAGTGAGGACCCCTGCTCCTCATAGTTATTGCGCTAACCTTAAAGAGGAAGTCCACCCTAATATTAAGATGGTTTTAATAGAATCAGACAAATGAGAGAAACGGGTCAGTGAAAGTTTGGGCAAAAACCAATTAAACATGAGTAAGTTATGAATTTTTGAAGGAGCAATTAATCAAACATAAATTGGCAACTCTGTGACGTATCTTGCGAACTCCCTCCCATTTGCCCTGTACTGTCATCAATAACTAAGAAAATGAAAGTTTATGATTTTTTTTTGGACAGAGCAAATTGGAAAGGAACTCGCAAGATGCGTCACAAAGTCGCCAATTTGTGTTTGATTTATTGCAACTTTAAAATTTCATAACCTTTTTTTTTCTTTTGATTTTGCTCAAACTTTCAGTGATCTGTTTCTCTCATTTTCTGCTTCTTAATATCAGGGTGAACTTCTCGTTTGAGATCGCCCATTTTTAATAACTTTGAGCAAGCTTAAAGTTTTGTAACCACGAGTGCCTCTGCACGGTCCTTAATACAAGGTACCCATGAAGTTTAAAACCACAACGTAATCTTTAAAGTTAACACACTTTATATGTGAACCTAACTGAAATCAATGTTAGATTTATCTTGTTTGATGGTATCTCTAATAGCCTGCGGAATTTATGAGTTTTCATGCTATTCTGCATTGAAGCATTTGCAATTAAACTTTACTTTTCAAATCAAATGTCATTAAATTGTTTAAATGGGGAAAAACATATCGCACATGATAAAGAGTCTGCCAAATAGCCGCAGGCTACTGATTACCATTGCCTCCCTCAACAATACCTCTAGCAACTCCCGGGTTGAGCTTCAGTAATGCTTGTTCGGCAGTTTTCTGGAAAGCAAAAGAGCACATGTAAGAAAATCATAGAACATGAATTTTCGTTATAAATAGATTTCTGTTTTTGTTATAGCTGTGCCATTTTAAGAATTTGTCATTAGGAGAAAAAAAATGGGTTATTTCCAATCATCAGGTCATTGGTCGGGTCAGGCCGGTGGCGGCATTACCAGACGTTTTGTGAAAACACTACATGCCCCTTTATTCACAAAATGTTGGGGTTAATGTTCGTGAAATACACCAATCTTATCTACAAATGATCTAGTCCAATTTACCCAACACTTGTGAAAAACTTATGGCGAATCCCAGCTGGTCGCGATGATTCAAACTCAAAGTAAGCTGGAAAAAAAGGGGATGCACACAATAGATGCATCGAGCTTGAGATTGTAAATTGTAGATAAATCAACTTTTTAATTGTTATTTAATGATAGTTCTAAAAGTGTAAGTTCCCCATCTCCACAAGCCAAAATGTGCACTAAAACATTAACACAGGTCCTGAGCACATACACTATAGGATACACAACATTTGAAATATTGGTAAAATTGCATTTCAGTAGTGGTTGCTATGCACTGGTTACATGTCGTAAGTTATTGGAGGTCAAAAAGTGTATTCACAGTTTTGCAAGGAGCTTTCCAGCATCTCTCTGTTTCATTTACATGTAAGATTGTCCATCAAATGACAGTGAGTCTATAGCAGCTCCAGTTCTAAGCTGCGAAATCCACCTGAACTGTTCAGTGTAAGCAACTCCCTGATTAAATATAAGATCCATTTACCCCTGTTTTGAAAAGTATCAAGAAATTGCCTTGGAATATCAATTACTGTATAAAAGCCTGTTTCTCTCTGTGTGTGTGTTCTCTTTGAGGAGGCATGATGGCTCAGTGGTATCGTACCAGGGAGGCTGTGAATTCAAAATCGAATCGTTTCGCTAGATCCCATTGGTAATACGTGGATCCTCATTACCAAGTCCCTTGGATAGGACTTGAAAGTCGTAGGTTAAACCTCTACAGAATGAACACTCGTTAGCACGAAGTAGTAAAATACAAGTACACTCAACCCTGCCTATAAAGGCCACCCAAGGGAAGCAGAAAAAGTGGCTTCTCTAGACAGGTAACCTTTCTAGACAGGTTCTGCAACACACATTTCTTTTCAAGTGAGACAAAAAGACTGAACGAGTGAAAAATGTTGGGAGTCATTATTCCAGCGATATTTTCCAAGAGAAGCACCCCAGAACAGTTCATAACTTCATATCCACTTCATGAGCATCGCATGAAATGTATCTGGGAAGCGCAAGACCCCATTCTTCAAGCATTGTCCGCCCCCCAGTAAACAAAATTTTTAAAAAATTATTAAAAAATAAAAATAAACAACAACAACAAGGGAACTCATTCCTCTCCCCTCCTCCTTCTCCCCTACTCCTTCTCCCCTCCTCCTTCTCCCCACTTCTTCCCCCAGATCGACCACCATTTTTCTTCTCTACATCACGACTATACACCATATCATTCGTAGTGTACTTCACAATGTCAAGAGACTAGCTAGCTAGTGATCTTAATTTTATGCAAATATCAGCCATATTTCGCTCTCAATCTCTTCATACTCGTACATGTGTAGGTCTCATCAGAACCAAAATTTGTATTTGCGTAGGGGAGGGTCCAGGGTTTCATAAAAGGAGGGGCCATAGTTTAACAAAAAAATCAATTAAAGGGGCAGTATTTTGTTGTTGAGTACTACACTTTGCCCATTGAGTTTTAGGGCGTGGGCAGCGACATTACTGGCAAATGGCACTAAGGATGTTGTTAGAGGGAAAAAAAAAAAAATTATAACAGCAAAGGAAACTCAGACATGTTGATTCAGCACTTTTTTTTTCTTTTCTTTTTTTGGACAGAAGCAACAGTCTGACAGAGTCTTTGTATGACTACCGGTATTCAAATACTGTTAACTTGTTCATCCCTTTCTGGGTCACATACATGTATTGTATTGGCAGACAGTATCTTTCATCTGCAGAAGAAAAAAAAGCTTTTTGTATTGTTTTTTTTTGTTACAATGCATTGTCCTCTGCATGTCTCTATTCATGTCTCTATTCATGTCTCTATTCTTCATTAGTCATACTCTCACCCGCATTGGGGTTTTGAATGGTTCGAACATGTGGCCTACGTGCAGATGCAGCCGTAGCATGGTCCCATGATGCAACGCCCCCGTCCAGTCGGATATATCGCCTGCGACTTGCGGGTTTTGAACC